ATTTTTGTGTTTGCTTATTCTTCTTATGCTCACAAAACCATCGTACACACAAGTGCAGACGGGAGTCAGATTAGGCACATTGGTTTGCTCAACGGGTAACTTAAACGTCTTCCATGTTTATTGCTGATTTTAGAACCACTGGAATTATTTTAACATTTCTGGTTTCTTACATAAAAATACATGCCACACAACGCTCACCTCCACTTGATCCCATTTCATTTCTACAACTTTCTGCCCTGTTTTCGGCTGCCAGGTTGGCAGGGTCTCGGTTGCCTGAGAGCGTGGAAGGATTATGTCGGGCTCCGGGGTGGCAGAGACAGGCTGAAGCTGTCTGGGCGCCGTGGACTCGGTCCAGCTCGAGGCTGGAAGACTGGGAAGAGCCTGTTCACAGTCGGGACCTTCATAGCCTGCATCGCAGATGCAGAGGTAGCCGTCGCTGCTGCCGCTGCTGCTACAGTTGCCATGGTGACAAGGGTTGCTGGCGCAAGGATCTGCAACAAGCTGAAACGAGACCATAAATGGGTCAATTATTCCCTCATAAGCAAAGTGGTGCCATCGCTGGGAAATTAGCTCCGTGTCTCAGAGATACTGCTCTAATGGCAACGCTGTTCCTGTGGAACGCGCGTTCTTAGCTACTTATGCTGGGACGGGGGCGGGTCTCCCCAAGGTCATCTCAACATTAACCTTACTGCAGAGAACAGGCACCCCACGAGGAATACACAGTGGAGAACAGCCTCCTCGAAACCCAAAAATCCCTCAATAATGTTGATTTCGGGAACACAGTATTTAGAGGAATTTTCTAAGGCAAAATAGCTTAAACTGAGGCTCATTTAGAAAGATACCAACGTTGACATTTTTAGCTGTTGATCACGACAAATGATATTAGAAATCTAAATTGGAATCTCCTTTTTCACATCCTAGACCTTTGCAAGGTTTTCTCAAGAGAAATGACTGCCCAGTTTATCTGCCCTACAGATGTGCTCACCTCTGTCTCTCGATTTCCTATCTGATCAACAACCCTTTTTAAGGTGACACTGTGCTATTTAATTAAAGGTTTCCAAAACGATTAGTTTGCACAACAAATGCTAGCTAGAAGAGAGTGTGGTGGAGGGTTAAATTAAGAAGAATCTTGTAAAATTTATCTCATGACTCCGGAGGGTTATTACAGAGAAATGTGACCCCACTGGATACGGAAGATAAAAATTCAGTTATATGTCTTTAAATTGTGTTCATGTGCTGGGAAAAGTGTTTATCTCTGAGTCCTTTGCCGCTGACCTCTGCATGGTCCATTGCTGGGACTTGAAGACACGCTGCAAAACAAAGTGAAAAGACATCTGCTGCTCTCAAGATAGCACAAGGATTCAGGCATATTCTCGGGGCTTATTCGATTACAACTTGTTTCGGTGATAAAAGAAAATTAGATCTCTATCTGATATACCTCTGGCTTCTCAGGGCTGACCCCAATATAGGATTCAGTACAGAATAAATGACAGAGAAATGGGACCCTCAATTCTCTCATTGAAATGAGTCCATGCACTTGAACACACATGGATAGAACTCTGCAAGGTAAAATGGCTACTCGGTCTGCTAATGATCCTCATCAAACAATTTCCAACAAACTCCTTAAGGAATATTAAGGGATTTTTGGATTGAATCAAATGAAGCTTCAAAAATACCACATTAATTCTATGCTTTCACTCGGCAATTCCTTCACAGAATCTTAGATAAGAATCAATGGGTTAGTGTCTGAAGAGAATATTTAAACCGTCAAAATTTAAAATATTTACAATCTGTCAACTCAAACTAAAACCCAAACTCCTTCCTCACAGACAATGCCCTCCCTGACCAGGCCCCTTCCTGCCTTCTGAAGTCCTCTCCTCCCACAAACCTTCCTCCTCCCTTGTCCCTTTCTCTCCTCACCCCTCCCTGGACTATACCAACTTCATTCCGGCCTCAGGACCTTTGCACCTGCTGGGCCCTCTGCCTGCAATGCTTTTCTCCCAGACTTCGCATGGCTGTCTTCCTCATCTCATTCAGTTCTCTATTCAAGCATCACCTTCTCAGAAAAGCCTCGCCTCACTACAAAATCTAAAATAACCCTTTTTTTCTCTCACAAAAATGTGAGCTCCATGAATGCAGGCCCTTTATCTGCCATGCCCTTGGCTCTATCCCTAGCATGTCAATGAACCCAGGCTATGTGGCGGGGATTTTTATTTAAAGTTGAGCAAAATGAAGACAGATAGATTGATCCATCTTTGGCAAGCAATGAGTGATGAGAGAGGGGTGTGAACTGCTTGTTTAGTCACAATGTTGTTATCTCCTTTCTGACATATTTTTAGGAAGGCTTCTTGGAATGGGTGTCACCTCAAGAATTATTTGACAAGAAGAAGAAAGAATTTAATTAACTAGCACAAAGGGGACATTTAAAACCATGTGTCGGAAATCATCTTTTAAAACATCTGAGGTTGACCTAGTCACAAATAAGAATTTTAATACATGCATTAAAAAAACAGAAATGCATTTAAATCACAACAGATGAATACAAAAGCTAATTCTGAAAGTCTAACCCTCCATCGTGCAGCTTACAGAGTGGCATTACTAAGGCAAGGACCACTGATCTGGTGGCCAGAGAGGCCCCACAGCTTCCACCCCATTCCTACAGCCAACTGCTGACAACTGCCAGTCCTCGGAGAGGCCCGAGCCTCCTCAGAAGAGTCTCCAAGCACAACATAAATCAACATTTCTCCAGAGAAATCAGTCAAGGCACATGTACCCACCCTTTCCACAGTAAAGGGAACACCCCCTTTACTGCACCCCCTAAAATGGCCATTTAGAGTTTTCAAAGAACATTGCCATGTAGTAGCTCGTCTGCCCTCACAGCAACCCTGAAATAAAGAGGGATTTTTCTGAATCCCCGTCACTGCTGGGAAGCGGAAGTGCAGAGGAGCTGAATGACCACCGCCCCCGCCAGCCACTGCAAAAGGAGCCAGGACTGCGCCACATCTCCCACCCCAGCCAAGGGTCCTTTCCAAGACACAGCACCACGCCTTTGATACCAAGTTATGATCATGCCAAAAACATGTTCCTGTGGAGAAGGCAAAAGGGAAGGGTTATACTTCTGTACGCAACAGGAAATGAGTAGGAATTCAATGTAGATCAATTAAGACCACCTCAAATGCTTTCTTAGAATAAGGTATGGTAGCGACAATATTCAAATGTGGACTGGGGGCTTACTGTGTGCCAGGAACTGCACCAGGTCTGGGAAATAAATGCCGAAAAATAGGCCGGGCTCGGTGGCTCAAGCCTATAATCCTAGCACTCCAGGAGGCTGAGGCAGAA